GGTCCCACGCCATACAAAGAAGCCCAATTGGGCAGCAGTTTGGAAGACTTTTGAGCACATAACCTTATTGGGCCTAAAGCCCATTTCGAACTGGGATGATTTGATCAGTCATTATTAAGGGGCGGATCTGAGATTTGGATGAGCCCAAAAGCTTATCTAATATGCAGATAGGATTAAGAAGAGTCCTAATCCAAATACAGACTTGGATAAGGGCAACTCTTGATATGTTCAGGAAATCTTTTCTTAATCATTAAGCAATTGGAGGAAACCCTAATTCGAATAACAAGAATTCGAACCCTAGGGACACAGATCACATCCTGCAGTTTTGTGAGATAGGATCTCAGAAACCTTAGAGAAGAAAAGCAGTTTGCCACCTTCTTCTCTAGTTTCCTCCTGTTGCAGCCGCCACCATCTGTTACAGTTCGTTTTCTCTGTCAGAGAAAGATCAAGAAAAGTTCTTGATATCAGTCTTTGTTGAAAGGATGATTCGGTTTGGTGCTCATTGTCATCCAACGGATTTTTGTGAAGGATTCAGTGTGTAGGACGCACCCTGCTGGTTCTGTTCCACAGTTGCTGTGTCAATCTTCAGCAGGAGCAGATCTTGGTGCCTTCTTTGGGCGTGAACACCAACTTTGGGAGATATTATTTCTCTGGATCAGGTATAATCACTCCCTTCTCTTTTGGTTCAGATCTGGTTTGGTTCTGGTTCAAGTAGGATCCTTAAATCTTGATTCTAAAATTAGGGAATGCGATTCCTAGTTGAAAGGTAGGTAGAAAATTTTTGAAAATCTCCCTCCCATTCCGCAACTGTTTTGGCGTCCATACGATGGATTATATCATCCCTTTCAAATTTCTCCAACACTAATCACTTTCTGCCAATAAAGCTAACTGGTGACAATTACGTAATATGGAAGGCTCAGTTTATTCCCATCTTTCGTACTCATGAAATAGATGGTATAATAGATGGCAGTATTCCTTGTCCTCCAACACAAGTTGTAGATCCAACTCAAGAGAACCACCTGCTTCCCAACCCAGAATACACGATGTAGATCTAACTGGATCAGCTTATTCTAAGCTGGATTATTTCGTCTCTCAATGAGAATATAATCGGATAGATTGTTGGCCTATGTACATCTCGCCAAATCTGGAAAGCATTAGAAGATGGTTTTGCTTCTCCCTCACCAGCTAGACTTCTTTAGTTGCGTTTTCAACTCATGAGTCTCAAGAGGGTTCTATGATAGTTACAGAATATTTCCGTCACATCAACACCATTGCCGAGCAGCTAGAAGCTGCCTCGGAACCTGTTCGTCATCGTGATCTCCTTCTTAGTATCCTACATTGTCTTGGACCATATCATGATTCTTTTATTACATTTGTTACTACTAAATCAGATTTTTCATCCCTTACTATTGTAGATCTTCGTGGATAGCTTCTTAATCACGAGATTTGGCTCAAGTAGAGACATACTTCTTCTTTTGAACAAATCACTCCAAGTGCTAATCTTTCCAATAAGCAGTCTTCATCAACCCAGACCTTTGGCCCCCAACCAGATACATCCCCTAACCGACCTCCCTCTCAACAAAACTATTCATCAAGGGGGCATGGGCATGGTAGAGGCCAAGGCCATGGCTATTTTCCTCAGTAGCAATGATACTATCGGAATCAACAGCAACTGTTTTCTCCTAACACCATAAGATGCCAGTTTTGCAATAAGTTCAATCGTAATGCTCTTCAGTGCTATAGGTGTTTTGATATTTCTTTCTATGGGGAACAATCCAACAACACAACACCAAATCAGTCAATTGCCTTTCATGCCAGTAGCTCTCAATCTCAATTTGATCCCGCTTGGTACCTAGACACCGACGCAACACATCACATGACTTCTGATCTCAATAATCTTCAAACCAAATCTGAATACTCTGGGACTAGGTCTTTAGCTCCTTTAGAGCTTATATATTCAAACATTTGGGGTCCTACATCTCGCACTTCTATTAATGGTTTTAATTATTACATTCCATTCTTGGATGATTATAGCTATTTTACTTGGGTTTTTCCTATTGCTTATAAATCTGATGCTCTACCTATCTTTCTACGTTTTAAGATGTATGTTGAGAATTTGTTTTCTTACAAAATTAAATAGTTTCAGTTCGATTGGGGAAGGGAGTATCGCTCTCTTTCCACTCAATTCCTCACTTTGGCATACACCATCATATATCGTGTCCCCATGCTCATGCTCAGAATGGTTTACCGGAGAGAAAGTGTAGACACATCACTGAAACCGTGCTAGCCTTACTCTCTCAAGCCTCTATGCCCCTTACATACTGGGATGACATAGTCCAAACTGTTGTCTTTCTCATTAACCTGCTTCCCACTCCAATATTACAAGGGACTCTGCCATTCCAACTCCTGTTTAAACAAGACCCTAACTACTCCATACTTCATGTTTTTGGATGTGCTCGTTACCCATATTTACGTCCAAATAAAGCGTAAGTTTGATTTCAAATCCTCTCTCCATGTTTTTCTCGGTTATAGTGCTTCTCATACGGGATATCGTTGCTTGAATCCCTCTACTGGTCGTATTATAATTAGTAGAGGTGTTGTTTTTGCGGAATCTTCTTTTCCTTTTGCATCTCTTTTAGTGACCTCCTCTGCTTCATCTTCTCAATTTACTAGTACATACATATCTGCTCCTTTTTCTTCTCCTACCCAACCATCGTACTCCTCACCTCCATCTACCCCATCCCTTGTTCAACCTCCCTCCCCTGTAATGTCACATGAATCCCCTTTATCCTCCTCTCTAGTTCCGAAGATGCAAATGTTGGGATCTATTATGAGAAATACTGAACCTATCCCACCCCCTACTCGATCTCATACTATGGTTACAAGGTCCCAAACTCGTGCCTCTACTTCTCTTGCTACAAGCTACCCTCTCTCTGAGGCACTTCTTGCTCACCATGCAAGCATACCTAGTGAGCCCACTTGTTTCTCATAAGCTAATAAACATATAGAGGGGTGGCAAACAATGTGCGATGAGTTTGATGCTTTAATGAAAAATGGAACTTGGACCCTAGTCCCACCTCATTCTTCCATGAATATTATTAGATCTAAGTGGGTATATCGTGTAAAACAAAATGTAGATGTTTCTATTCAACATTACAAGGCACGCCTTGTAGCATAACGCTTTTCACAATAACAAGGTATTGATGTTGGTGAAACCTTTAGCCTAGTGGTCAAATCATCTACCATAAGGACTATCCTAAGCCTTGTTGTCATGCCTATTCGGCAACTTGATATCTTTAATGCCTTCCTTCATAGTGAAATCACTGCAGAAGTCTATATGCGCCATCCACAAGGATTTATTGACCCATAGCTCCCAAATTATGTTTGTCGGCTCCATAAAGCTCTTTATGGACTCAAGCAAGCCCCACGTGCCTAGTTCTCTAAATTAAGTAGTCAACTTATGAATATGGGCTTTACTGCTTCTAATTTAGATTCTTCTCTCTTTCTCTTCAACAAAGATGGTATTATTATTTATTTGTTGATTTATGTGGATGATTTATTGACTACTAGCAATGATGCTTCTGCTCCCTCCAAGTTTATTTCTCAGCAAGCTACTCACTTTGCCACCAAAGATTTGGGAGATTTAAGCTACTTTCTAGGCATTGAGGTCACATGCTTCTCTTTTGGACTTCAACTTTCTCAATGCAAATATATCATGGATCTTCTCCTTCGTGTTGATCTTGATGGCTGTAAACCAGTGACCACTCCCATTACAGCCAATAGTCAACTCTCCAAGTTGGATGGTACTCCTCTTGAAGATCCAACTGAATATAGAAGTCTTGTTGGTTCATTGCAATATGCCACCACTACAAGGCTCGACAGTTCCTTTGTCGTAAACAAAGCATGTAAGTTTCTTTAGGCACCAACTATTGAGCATTGGAATCTTGTCAAGCGCATTCTTCGCTATCTCAAGGGCACTATTGATTTTGCTCTTGTGTTTCACCCTGATACTTGTTACACTGACAATGGATACTGTGATGCTGATTGGGCTGGTTGCCTTGATGATCGATGCTCTGTTGGTGGGTATGCTGTCTTCCTAGGCTCCAATTTAATATCATGGCATTCTCACAAGCAACCAACCATTGCTCGATCAAGTACTGAAGCTGAATTCTGCTCCTTTCCCGACTTAATTGCAGAAATTGTATGGCTCTGCTCCTTGCTCAAAGAATTGGGTGTTTCTCTCTGCCACATACCTTGCAGCAAGTCCAGTCTATCATGCATGTACTAAGCATGTCGAAGTCGATTATCACTTCATACGAGATCGCATCACTGCTGGTTCTCTTCTAATTCATCGTCTGTCTTCTACAGATTAGATCGCTGATATATTCATCAAGGGCTTACGCAGATCTTGATTTCATCTAATGCGGTCCAAACTCAACATTGTTAATCACCCGTTGAGTTTGAGGGGGCATATTAGCGATGAGACTTCTGATTGAATTAGAACTCCATCTACCGATCCAAATAAGGCTCTATCTGTCATACGATAAGGATAGAGATTATCCTACTACTTAATCCTAACCTTGTATGATAAGGATAAAGTCTATTCTTCTATCCTACTTAACTCTAATCTTGTAGCAAGTCCTAATAGGACTCAAACTTATGTAACTCTATAAATATATCTCAATGAAACAGATGCAAGACCATCTAGATTTTCCTTTCATATAATTTTCTATATTTCTGTTTACACATAGAACTTCCTCTTCAGCCACATGGTTAAGTATCCTAAATGTTCGAAATGATCTGATTGAACAGGTTAGGTGGTAGATTGGAGATGGGTGGAATGTGAATGCCCGTTCAAATCCTTGGATCCCATTTCCTTGTGATAATGGGCTGAGCATAAGCAGCACTGAGGCTTGTGATTTTAAAGTTTCTTCTCTATTTGATCCAATGACAAGAAAGTGGCATCAAGACCTAATCCTCTCTCTCTCTCTCTCTTTCTCTTTGTTTATCTCTCATTAAGCTTCTGTTGGTGGATAATTCAACTCCACCTTGGAAAGTTGCCACAATTATTAGTGATTGCAGAAGCTTGGTTTCTTCCTTTTCGGTGTGTAACTTCTCACATACCAAAAGGCAATTTAACATTGTTGCTCACCGAATTGTGAAGGTTGCTTGTTCCATTCCGAGTGTCTATACTTGGTCTTCTGAATCATGTTTCTTCATTAGGTTATTGTACTGGGTTCTCCTTTAAATTAATAGATGCTCCCTTCTTCAAAAAAAAAAAAAAATCATTGGGGGGTTTAAGAATAATTTTACTAGAGAGTAATAATAGTTTTTATTAGAGAAAAATAATACTTGGGAAGTTTTATTTTATCATAACTTATAATTTTATAATTTAATTTAAAAATAAATAATCAGATATGCAAAAAAATGAGAGAAGTAGAAGATATATATAATGTTTGCAGTGAGAGGACTCCTCACCTCCCCTTTTTCATTCTTTTTAAGATAGATATAGTTAAACTAAAGAACACCAAGAATAATTGGGCATAGTGAATTGGCCATTGGCCTTGTACTAAATTTATAATAGAGGAGTTTTACATGAAAGGAAACTCTATCTTAGATAGAGTCCTACAGAGATAGCAATCAACAAAATTCATGTCATTAGGATAACAATTATCCTAAATCTCTAAGGATAATTGTTATCCTAAGGATGGAGTCCTATGCTAACTAATATACACAACAGGATATACTCTAATACGCCCCCTCAAGCTCAATGCTCATCATGAACATGGAGTTTGTTGATCACCGGCGAGAGGCTTGGTGAGAATGTCAGCAACTTGATCCTTGGAAGAGATAAAACAAACACTTAGTTGTCGTGCAGTAACAAGATCCTGGAGAAAATGAAAGTCAACCTCAACATGCAGAGTTCGAGCACGGAACACGGGATTGGCAACAAGATAGATGGCACTAATGTTGTCACACCAAATAGTAGGTACCTCGGGAAGTGTATCCCCAAGATCTCGAAGGAGAGATGTAATCCAAAGAACTTCAGTTGCTGATGTGGCACAAGCACAAAATTCAGACGCAGTACTGGAACGTGCAACTGTAGTTTGTTTGCGAGAGCTCCAAGAAATTGAGTCAGGACCTAAATAAATATCAAAGCCTCTAGTAGATCTATGATGATCTGGACAACCTGCCTAGTCAACATCTAAATAAGCATGAAGAAAAAGAGAAGTAGATGATGCCCGTGAGAGGTTCAGACCATGCATAATACTATGCTTAAGGTAACGCAAGATGCGTTTCACAGCTGCCTAGTGTTCGTCAGTAGGAGACTGAAGAAACTGAGAGGCTTTACTTACTACAAATGAGATGTCCAGACGGGTGGTCGGCACATACTGAAGAGCGCCAACAATACTTCTATATTTAGTAGGATTATCAAGAGGACAACCGCAATATCGAGTGAGCTTGGGATGAACCGCCATAGGAGAAAAAATGGGCTTAGCAGCTTCCATGTGATCTTAATGCAGTAGATCTGTGATGTGTTGACGCTGACTGAGAAGGACCCCATGAGGATGCCGAATAAGCTGAATACCGAGGAAGAATGCAGCATGTGTTAGACAGTTGTATGCCCTTATCTCCAATCAGATTGATGTGCTTATGACATTTATTGTAAATGAATAAAGTACATATTTGATTCATGTTATAGTGGTGTGTTTCTGTGTAATACCCTTAAACTGGACACTTAATGAGACTCGTGTTAGTTTAGAATGTTCACAGCCATTGGGTAAGTCTGGGGAGATTTATCCTGCTAAGGCTGACACTGGTGAGACCCGAGGTACATGCAGTGTAGGTTTACTTGAAACCCTGAACCGGACCAGATTTCCAGTATTGCCCTAGACCTTGGTGATTAGTGGGCAAAACTGGAAAGTTACACCTGACCCCTAGACTCGATAATGATACTACACTAGGTGTCGGATTGGGCTGTCTTTGATATGCCAATAAGTGAGATCCTTAGCGGGGGACAAAACCTGGGTATGTTGGGAAAGTCCGAGAATTCATCTGAGTGGGTGATCATAGTGACAGGACCAGCCCCTTTGTCGGACAAACTATGCCGTCTGGTACCGTAACCTTATGCTGGTCTTAACCTATAAAAAATTGGATAAGGTGGCCAAGAATCCTACCCCGGAACGTCTAGGAGATAGGGCTTTTGAGGCCCGAAGGAGAGACTATCAAGAATGGGAGGAGAAAAACTCCCTCACCCGGTGTTACATCATTGCCTCCCTAGACAATCCGATACAAAGGCAGTTCGATCAGATCGAACTTGCCAAGGACATATTGGATAGTTTAAAGACAATGTATGAAGAGCAAAATCATTCTACTCGACAGAAGGTCTTGAAATAGTTCATGACCGTGCAAATGTCCAAGGGGCAACAAGTTCATGACCATTGTCTTCGGATGATGGATTACATCAATGAACTGGAGGCTCTTGGATCCGGGCTAGATCTGGTAACCCAGATAGACGCCATTCTCAACTCTTTGCCTCCGTCCTTCAATCCATTCATCATGAACTACAACATGAACAAGCTGAATGTCAGCTTGCAGGAACTCAACAATATGTTGCAGAGGGCCAAAGAATTGATAAAGAAGGATGAGCCTATAGCCATGCTTGTTGAAGCAGGCAAATCGGGCAAGAAGAGGAGGGCAAAGAGAAAGCCCCAGAAGAAGGCCACCAAACCCAAGAAGTAGAAGAAAGACAAGGCATCAGATGCCTGTCACTATTGCAAGCAGACCGGCCTTTGGAAGAGGAATTGTCCTCAATACCTGGAATCCAAGAAAGTTAATTTCGAATCTTGTGTCATAGAAACCAATTTATTAGTAGCTTCTGCGTCCTGGTGTATTGACTCCGGGACTTCAACTCATGCGTGTAACTCATTGTAGGAGTTCAAGGTAAGCAGAAGGCTGAGTGAAGGAGAAGTAACGCTTTACTTGGGGACTTCTGCAAGTGTTGTAGCTACGACCATAGGAACTGTAGAATTAATTTTTATAGAAGGATCTATTGTACTCAAAGATTGTATTTTTCTATAGAATTTAAGAAGAAATTTGATTTCTGTCTCAAAACTGTGTGCGGATGGTTATTCCGTCTTCTTTAGTAATACGATTACTATTAAAAGAAACAACAGATTCATCGCATACGGGGAACTGGAGAACAGTCTCTATGTTCTACATCCTTCTCTAGAAACTAATATAGCCAAAACTACGTCAGCTGATATCCCCAACAAAAGAATCCGTGATACAGTTAATCTCACGTGCCTATGGCATTACTGACTTGGCCATATCAGTATTGATCATATCACAAGGTTGGTAAAGAATGGTCCTTTGGATTTTCTAACTATAGAAGATCTTTCCACTTGTGAGCCTTGCCTTCAGGGTAAGATGACGAAATGACCATTTAACGGTAAGACTGAAAGATGTACGGGCACGCTTGACCTAATACATACTGATGTATGTGGTACCCTGAGTGTTATGACTCGTAACCAGCATGTGTATTTCATCACATTTACCGATGATTATTCTCGGTATGGTTACGTGTACCTAATGAGGCACAAGTCTGAATCCTTTGAAAAGTTCAAAGCATTCAGACAAGAGGTCGAAAAACAGTTAGGGAGAGAAATTAAAGCCCTTTGATCGGATCGAGGTGGCGAGTATCTCTTTGACGAATTCAGAGACTACTTGAAGGTCAACGGGATAGTATCATAGTTGGCTCCTCCTACTACACTGCAACTTAACGGTATTTCAGAGAGGAGGAATAGCACCTTATTGGATATGGTCCTGTCACTTCTCATATACTCAGAGTTAACCACATCCTTTTGGGGATACACATTAGAGACTACGATATACGTGCTGAATAGGCTACGCACGTTAAAAGAACTTTGGACCAGAAAGAAACCAAGTGTCAGACACTTGAAGATTTGGGGTTGTCCTACGCACATTAAAAGAATGAGTGCGGACAAGTTGGAATCCAAGGCCAGTCGTGGGTTACCTCTTCTATGATCCAAGAGAGCAGAAGGCGTTCTGCAGTCGAACTGCACAATTCTTGGAAAGTGATTATATCCTGAACAATCATCGTCAGGAAGTTGTTCTTGATGAGGAGAGCTCAGGGTCAGTGGGAGGTGTCCCACAAGTTCTAGGTATTAACCAACCTAGAAGATCTACCCGGGTATCCAGGCCACCAGTCCGTTTTGGCTATGACCAGGATAGTTACCTGGTGGAAGCCTTAACTAGTAAGGAGGA